ACAGTATGAGCAGGGGAGGGTCAGAGAGAGAGGGAGACACAGAATCCAAAGCAGGCTCCAGGCTCCGAGCTGTCAGCACAGAGCCCGACGCGGGGCTGGAACCCACGAACCCTGAGATCATGATCTGAGCCTAAATCGGACACTTAACCGACTGAGCCACCCAGGCGCCCCTCTTTTGTTCTTGTTAGAAAGACGTTGGAGTTTTTGAAGTACGAGAGACTCTCTCTGGCCTTGAAGGAGAATCTGCTGTTTTATGGGAAGAGCCCCAAGGCAGGAAAATCGAGGCAGGCTCGCTCAGGACCACCCAGGGCTGAGATCCTACACGAAAACAGCCACCCACCCCAGGCCTAGGACCCCAAGTGACAGAATTTTCCCAGCAGCCCCAGGGGTGTGCGAGTGGATCTCTTGCCTTGGATTAGATCCAAGTCTGGGCCAACACCATGCTGTCCATCTCATGAAACCCTATAGCACTTGCTACACCAAGTCAAAGCCCGGACTTTGAACCTATCGAAGCATGAGAGGTAACGTGCGCTGTTTTAAGCTGCTGACTTCTGTGGTGCTTTGTTGCACAGTCAAAGAAATAGGTACTGCAATATTCCAAGATAAATCTCCTTTTGGAAAGTATATTACGTGTTCTTTCAAGGCTCCCCTGTGGCCGATGGCATTGCACTGTGTCCTGAATGGTTGCTATGGTTTCTGGTCCATCTAATGAACTTACCTCAAACCCTCACCTCCCAGGTCTCTATCCTAAAAGTTACTACCGGGTCCCTTTGCTCTAGGAGGCCACATTATTTGGGAATTTTCCCTTTAGGACAGTTTCAGCCCAGTGACCTTGCAGTAGCATTCACTTGGTCTGTGGAAGCCACACCCCTTTACCCTCCCTAATATTTAAAAAAAATTTTTTTTAATGTTTTATTTATTTCTAGGAGAGAGAGAGAGAGAGAGACAGCGTGAGCAGGAGAGGGTCAGAGAGAGAAGGAGTCACAGACNTTCCCCATATGTGTGAAATCACATGATATTTGTCTTTCTCTGACTTATTTCACTTAGCATTATATTCTTCAGCTCAATCCATGTTGTTGGAAATGACAGGATTTCATTCTTCTTTTAAAAATTTCTTTTTATTTTTTTTTTTAAAAATTTTTTTTTAATGTTTTATTTATTTCTAGGAGAGAGAGAGACAGCGTGAGCAGGGGAGGGTCAGAGAGAGAGGGAGTCACAGACTGAAACAGGCTCCAGGCTCTGAGCTGGTAGTCAGCACAGAGCCCGACGCGGGGCTCGAACCCACAAACCGCGAGATCATGACCTAAGCGAAAGTCGGACGCTTAACCGACTAAGCCACCCACGCGCCCCTACCCTCCCTAATATTTTAAGAGCAGCCACTCCATTGCTGACTTTTCTGTCCTGTCACTGGGCACAACTCCAGCCAGAGCTCTTTGCCTGTAGACAGTTTCAAGTGTGGGCACCTGGGAGATGGAGTCACCACTGGAGGAGAGGTGGGGGAGAGAACCCCAGGGCTCTCCCTTCCTCCCATCCACCATTCTCCCACCAGGGAAAAGACAAAAGATGTACCCCAGTGCCAAATGACCAATCATATGGTGGAAGCCCAAATGTTAAGCGAAATACTAATAGTCTCGCATGTAAAACCTGAGTGATCAAATTTGAGTAGCTGCTCAAAAGGACAAATAATTTTGACCTTTACTGTGCGAAGCTACGGAGTTTATTTCATGAGGCAAAAAGTTATATAGTGAACCATCCATGCAGTCTATGCTGAGCATTGTGAATCAGTCTCTGGCATATTCATTTACAGGCGAGGAAAGAAATGAGAAGTTGGTGCCATGGACTTTAACTGAGTAGGGATGAGTTGCTCAAAAAATACACCGTAAGTTCTAGAAGCAAAGAATGACAATGTATCGATAAACCAAGAAATGATGTGGATAATTTCTTGTATTCTACAGAGTTATAACTCCACTAACACAAATGTGGACACCATTTCTGTTTCTCTATTTTGTTAAAATTAGTACACATAATTACGTTGAACGTGACAGGAGGGAAATGGGGGAAATACTCATAAATGATAAGGTACCCCACAAATATGTAGTACTAGTATCTGATTAGGCTATTGGGCACCTTCGAACCTTGATTTTAAAATCAATTAAAAAAAAATAAGCAAAGAAACAAAACAAAGGGAGAAAAAACCAGAAATGATTCTGAGACTCATTCACAGTGTTACTTGGGTAAAGCCACCCAGTTTCCCTTGCCGTTCCTTGAATGTCCAAGAGTGGAGGAGTGCTGATCTGGTTCACTGGATCCTCCGTCGGCAACAGAAAAAGTTCAGCTTGCAATTTCCAACAGCCTTCTCGTCCTCAGCGCACATCTTCCTGCACTTGCCCCGGCCAAGCCAGCATGGCTCACAAATGGCAAACTCACCTATGCCGAGAAAGAGCTGCTGACATATCTGCCCAGGGACTCCCTGGACATGGGGAGAACATCGAAGGCCCCCCAGGCAAGGGAGGGTTTATATGATTGTAAAGAGTGTTTTTAAGAGCCAGCCCCGATTTTCCAAAGAGCTCTCCTTTTCTCAGGATGGAGTTGGGGAGACTTAATTTTGAGGTAAGAGGAAGGCACGATCTTTGTTCTCCGTGTGTTTATAGCCTTGCCTGCATCAAAAGTAACCACAGCAGGGCCAAGTGTCATGTATATTACAGAAGCATAAAAATACATACCTGATACTTCTGTAAAGGTTACAGGGTAAAGATGAGAAGGCTATCTTGTGCTTTGAAAAGATCTTGAAGGTAGAGGTGAAGTTAGTTCAGTTCTTTTGGGGGCCTGGAAATGGCGGGTGTTTTCCACAAACTGCCGGATCTCAGCTTTCTCATTTGTCAAATGAACATTCTAGAAATGCTTGTCTACACTGCAAATTCTTTTAGTGGTCAAATGGAGTGAATTATGTGAGAATATTTTGCCAAACACTATTTAGTCCATTAGCTATTTTTGTTGTTGTTACTTTAAGCAAAAGCTTTTTTACATGACCCCCCCAAAATTTTTCAGGACAACTTTCATGGACCAGGGAAGTAGTGCTTTTGCCAGCGTAGAATTCTTTATTTGCTGGTCTGGTTCTCTAGGGGCAACATTTATGTTGCAACCCCTTATTTTCTTTCCTATTAACCACCTTTTCTCTGTAGCCTCAGAACTGTAAGGAAACTTACAGGTCGGTCTCACTACTACAACCATTCACTGGCCTCCTCGACAGCCCGTTTTCCCATCCTCCGTGGCCATTTAAGAATTTACTTTCCCTGATGCATCAAGGGAGACACTTCCTTCCTCTTCTCTCTCACATCATTGCTCAGTCACATGCCCAGAGCTGCTCTGTTCCTGGACTGCGTTCCATCACCTTGGTGCTGGACCTCCTGACTCTGAACACTAAGCCAAGAGCTGTTTGAGTTCATGCTAATTGCTGCTTGCTTCGTGCTGAAGCTTGCCGGGGGCATGGGGACGGCCGTGGCTGTCTAGTTGGTTCTGTGAAGTCCACCGATAGCAACAAATCTGTTCCCCGGGCTTTGCTCCAGTAAAGCCCAAGTCCGCATCACCTGTCTCTTCTGCTGGATGAAGTGCACTCATCACACATTTTGATAAACATTCTGACTGGCTCTGAAACAAAGGTCCCTGATGACTTTTCTTCCAACCTGCTTTGACTGGAGGTGAGGGCAGACATACGCTAACCTTCTACTGATGTGCCCTGCCGCCAGCAACAGATTCCACCAAGACTTCCTGATAACGCTTCTAAATAAAGAACCAGAGTCCTGCTTCCTCCCCACAGAACAATTTTGTGGCTCCAAGTCACCTCCGCGGAATAGCTACACCTCAAGCTTCTCAACTCCTCATTCACGTCTAGCTCCTAATTTTATTATTTTCTCTTTTGGAGTTCCAGTCTTCTTCCTTACCTGAGAAGTTCTGCACCAGCATCTGCCTTGTTTTCCCAGCTCATGTGAGTTCCACCTGTCTTCACCCAGATGATGCCCCAGCCCATCTTACCTCCCAAGCCTTGCATTACTGAGGTGGGGAGGAATCCACAGTTTCAGCCTAGGACCCAGATTATATATGGAATTGTGTTGTATTTCTTATCTAACCTACTCATTGAAATGCCAAGAATTATCTCTAGATGCCTATTTGCTGCCGAATTAGAACACCCATTCTCCCACCCTTCACCCTGCTAACCCTCTCTGGCCGTGTTTATATGCAGGGCTTACACGCAATGGGCGGAGTGATACTCTGTGATTCCCTGTGTACAGCTCGTCTGCAATGGTGATGAGATTTCATCACTCTTTTCTTTGATCCTTCTGAGACCAGTAGCAAAGACTGGGACGCCTCCTACTGGGTTTAGGGGCAGAGCCTGTAAGACGTAGGCAAGCATGCTCCTTCACTGCTACAAGCCTGATCCTATAACCTTGCTTTAGTTAGCACCATGAGCTAGACAGTAGGTCATTACCATGTCCAAATCTCTGGCCAAAACTCCAATTCAGTAACTAAGGGATTTCTCTGTGAGATAGCAAACCCAGATATGATGCCGACTACAAGAGGTAGAAATCTGGGATTTCAGGCAACTCTATTCTCACAATTATTTCTATCACGCCTTGCCTCCAGAAGTCAGAGGAAGCTGACAGGTCACAGGTCTTTAAAGTAAAAATTATGCACAAGGGATTCAACTTACCTCCTGGAAGTGGCTCAGAATACTTGAGTCCTGCCTGGCACCCTAAATTCAAAACAGCACATTTTGGATATTAAAGTCAGTGCAGGAAATAATGCTGTATGAAACAACATTCCCAGCTCCACACATCTGCTGTCAAAGGACAGCAGATCACAGAGGCTGCATCTTTATTCTCTTTCTGAAAGCTAGCACTCCCAGTAACCAGTAAGAAGTTTAATTAAAAGGTCGGGAGTGGGTGGGAGAGGGAATTGTAGTTTGCTTAGAAAATGCCACTGTAGGTTCAAGAAATTACTATGAGGACCTCCATGGGGAGCTGACTGTTAATCTCAATTTTATGGCGCTCCATAGAGAACCATCAGACTTTAAGATCTGACCCCATCAGAATCCCATCCATTTACAATTACCTGATGGAAATTGAGCCAAAATGAAGAAAAATGCAAAGACAACGTAAGACATCTTCCTGCTCAAGGTCATCTCTGGGGAAAACTGTTCAGAGTAGAGGTCTGGGACCTCTGTGAGTGGACAGGAGGCACACTTATATTTGAAAGTAATGGGGAATACTTTTGGTCAGTGAAGTGAATCAATAAAGAAAGCACATTTGCATGCTCCATTTCCCAGGATCAAAGACTGATATGATGGGAGGACCTATATAATGGGAGTTCGAGGCCAGGAGCTGGAAGACCGGGTGCCACGCACTGACCTACTGATGCAGGATGTAGGGGCCTGTTCTCGCCTTCCCTCTCCTGGCTCCAGTGTTCTCTTCCATTGAATAAGGAGCAGCTGCAATGATTGAGAGATGGAACATGCCCAGAACTGGTCCATTCCTGGGCTGCATTCCCTCCCTTGATGCTGGGTCTCCTGAGGTTGCCCACCTGACTTCTGAACACCAACCCAAGAACTGTTTGCGCTCATGCTAATTCTGCTTGCTTTGTGCTGAAGCTTGCTGGGGGGTTGGGGACAGCTGAGCTCCAGTTGGTTCTTTGATGTCTACAGCTCCTCTGCCAGCCTCTTAGGGGTGTTGTCTAGCTGTAGGGATGATGATGCAGACATGCTGGGAACTTAGGGAAGTGCTTGGAAAGAAGCCTGGTGCCCTGTAAGAAGAGCCCAAGCAACGTGCACTGTTACTGCCCTGGCTTGTTTGTACTACCTGTGAGGGTCTCTGGGGCTGTAGTCATTTTACCAACTTAGCTCTGAATCCCTGAGCCTGTGACAATGTCACCTAGCAGCCCAAAGGCAGAATTTCCACATCCTTTTCATTCATCAGGAACATGGGTTTCCAAATTACTACTTGTATCCTTGTACCACCAAGTAAGTCCCATCCTGGTGCCTATGCTTACACAAGGCTCTGGTCTCCATCTTGGGAATGCAGAATATGATAACTGAACAAGGTAGACTGAGGTCGGACAGAACCAGTTAGCAAATGTATGACCTCGGGCAGGTGGCTTACTTTGCTGAATGTATTTCTTCATCTTACAATGGGGACATAATAAAGGTATGTACTTCATAGGATATTTAAAAGGACTCACTAAAATAAGTATTAAGTGGCTATCAGTGTCTGGCTATTAACACCAGCCCTACATTCACATATCTGACTATCCTGCTTTGAGTCCAACTTTTATGTAAATTCCTTTTCAACTCTACCAATTCACAGTGAACTTTTTCTGGCCGGGAAAGCACAGCCCTGACGATATCTGCATGTTTGTTTCCATGGCCGGCAAACAAGGCAGCTTCACGAACATAAGCCAAAATGTGGGTACTAGGGGACACAGAGCTGAGCCTAATGACCTCAGCCTTCCGTTCTCAGGCATTTTAATAACCTGGAGCCAGGCCAGGTGTGAGGAGGGCAGCCACACACCCCTTTTCTTGCCTTGGGGTTTAATGCTCTGCACTCACCATATTGCAATTCTTAATAATTTTATCTTTGAAGATGTGCACTGTAAATCAAATCTGTTAGGAATAGGAGCCAGTCTGGGACCTTGGAGCCTCAGTCCCTATATGATCTGCCTTCCTTCCCCTCCTCACTGTCTCAGGGGGTTCCTGGCCCTTGACCCTTGGGGCCCCACCCAGCCTCTTCTTTTCTGATCCCACCCCCCCAGCAATACTGCCACCACTGGCCCCCAGCTCGGACTGAGTGGAGATGTATCTAGAGATGGGATGGGAGTTTCTTAGGGCCCAGCATGCCATCAAACCCTCCCCGGGATGACAGTGCCACGGTATAGCCAGGCAACTTGGCAGGAACAGACCTCTCCTTAACCCCTAAATCCATATGAACTGCATCCAGCAGATGTGGACATATCCTTGAGAGCTCCCCAGCCACCATGGATGGTATGGCAGGATCATGGGGGAAACACTTGGCTTGACTTTCTCTGTGGAGTAAGACATGCCAGTCCAGCAGTGGCTGACGGTGGACCACACACATATGTGCAGTGGAAATGCGGGGATACCCAGGCAGCTGTGAGGGTCTGCAAGTGCCCTTCAAGCAACCTTGTGCCTGGGAGATTGTGACATTAAATAGCAAAGAAAAATTACTATGACAGATCAAGAGAATTAGATACCTTTAATGGCACCTTTTTCCTACCTCTTTGTCGGGAGCCATTCTGAGCCCACTAGTCAAGAAAACTCTTGATGAGGTTAAAGCAAGTTTGCACAATCTCTTGCCAATCAAATGATGACTGATATCCACCCTCACTCAATTATTTCTTGAGCACCGACCCCCAAGTACCTTGTTGATCAGTATCGGGAGTGACTTGTCCCCTTATTCTGGCCCTGGTATGATGATTGCACCTTGTGAAGGAACTTATTGTGAGAACTTCTTCTTTTGATTATGGAAACAGATATTGTGTCTCTAGCAGGTCCTGTTTCCCTCCATACTTTCCCTTGAGTTATGAACAGGCTAATGTCCCTTCCTCATAAAAGATTGACCTTTACATGTACAATTCTGTTTCTACGGTTGCATTAGTCCAAGAGGTTCATATAGCTCAACATGTAAATCAGCTAACCAAAAATGTCTCTCATGCCCTAGCTATTCAAGAAATCATAAAACTAGATACAAAGGTAAATGCACTCGAAAATACACTATTCTATGTATTGGAAATGAGCTAAAACTTTTTAAAGGTATGGTTGGCTCTCTGATGCCATAAAGAATATAACTGAAAAACCAAGTCTTGCCCAGAGGCAAAGAGCCTAACTTAGAGAGAAGGAACAGATAAGAGCAGAATATAAGCTACTAAATATACCTTTGTTAACTTATGACGTATAGCAGTCCCTTCCCTAAGGCCTAGTTTCCACAAACACCTTCCCTTACACTGGCAGCTGTGATGAGGATGGATAAGAATACTACAACTTAACCTATGACCTAATCTTAGTGTTATTAAAATGTGAACACCCTGTTATTTTCTTACTTACTCAACCTCACTATAATTGAGGCAGTCCTGCAAGAATACTTCTGTAAAACCTGTTTCTGTACATTTTCCAAAAACATCTTATCACAGAGAATTGTAAAAATTGTAAAAATTCCTTTTCTGATGCCATGTTAACATTTGACCTATAAATAAAGACACCAAAACCGACAGGGCAGAGATGCCTGCCTGGTGATCAGAAAGAACCTTGGGGCTCTCTCCCTCCCTCCCTACCTTGCCAACACCGTCCATCCTTCAGGGACCCCTGGACCCAGCCGGAGCTGGACTCTGGCACTTCTTGAACATGGGCCCTGGCACATGATGTAGCTGATCTTGATCTGGAGTGAACTTCTAGTCTTAGAAAAACAAGATGACTCTTGAAACCTTCAAATTAAAGGGCTTGTCCTTGGGGCGCCTGGGTGGCTTAGTCGGTTAAGCGTCCGACTTTCGCTTTGGTCATGATCTCGCGGTTCGTGGGTTCGAGCCCCGCGTCGGGCTCTGTGCTGACTGCCAGCTCAGAGCCTGGAGCCTGTTTCAGTCTGTGACTCCCTCTCTCTCTGACCCTCCCCTGCTCACGCTGTCTCTCTCTCTCCTAGAAATAAAAAAAATAAAAAAAAAAGGGCTTGTCCTTGTCATGGGGATCACAAGGCCTCCTTCATGGGGCCAGAGATGCCCCTGCAGAGGGCCCCGACCGTGCTCACTTGCATAGCTCAAAGTCTCCTGCTCCAACCTCAAATCCTTCCACATCTGATTGCTTTGAATATGGTGCAAATCACCATCTGTTTAGCCATTTAGAGGTTCCCTGCTTTGCACACCCCACAAAAATGCCCCCAGCATCTGCTAACATAGATTAAGACAAATTCTGAAGCTGTAAGACTCTAAATTGCTGATGCCTTTCTAGGACTTTGATCCTGAGACTCCTCACCTTGCTGCTGAGAGGAATCATCTAGATTCATAAGGCCCCATGTGGCACCCATCTCCCCTGGGAGTGCCGGTGCCCTTTAGAGTGGGCGCCTCGTGCCACCATCTCCAGGAGGGCCTTCCCATCATACAACCCTGTCCACATACCACCCGATTAACACCTCTAATGGCTCTACCTCTTCCCTGACAGCCCTCAAACCTGGGACTCACCACACCCCGTCCTTGGATTTCACCCACTCAGAGGCATCTGCCTTCCCCATGGTGAGGTGTGAGCAGGACAGCTCTTAGCTCTTATAGCACATCCCTCAGGAGAGTTCGTTGACTGTGAGTGCTCAGACGAGATCACATATGCCATGCTCTGAATGTTTGTGTCCCCCAATATTCATGTTGAAATCTAATCCCTACAGTGATGGTATTTGGAGTTGAGCCTTTGGGGGCCCTCGTGAATGGGATTAACACCTTTATAAAAGAGGCCCCTGAGAGTTCCCTATCCATATCTTCCAAGGGAGGACACAGTGAGAAGTTAGCCAGCTACAACCCAGAAGAGGGTCCTCACCGGCACCTGGCCACGTTGGTGCCCGGTCTTGTACTCGCAGCTTCCAGAACTGTGATAAATGTTGTTCATAAGCCACCGAGTCTGTGGTGTTTTGTAACAGCAGCTCGAACGGACTGAGACACCATATGCTCTAAGTTTAGATGAGAAGCATGTGAAATTCTAACATGATGTGCACTTCCCTTTGTCTTATTAACATTCGTTTGTTTCTTCTATGAGTCTCTTATGTTTGCAACCTTCGCTTGCTGATAAATCAAACTTGTCTTAAGAAGCAGAGATAAGTGACATAATGAGATACTAAATAAGATCAATGAGACCGTGTATAACTGAAAATGTTTGGAAGTTTGTCTTATAGATTTAAATCTTTTCTTAATGTTTATTTATTTTTAATTAATAAAATTTGTTTAGAGAGATTATGGGTGTGGGGAGAGGGAAATGCGAAGAGAGAGAGGAAGAAAAAGAATCCCAAGGAGGCTCCCTGCTGCCAGCCTAGAACCTGATGTGGGGCTCGATCTCACAAACTGTGAGATCATGACCTGACCCAAAATCAAGAGTTGGACACTTAACCAACTGAGCCACTCAGGTTCCCCTAAAATTTTTTAAGTGAGGATTGGAAGGGAATAGAGAAAATCTGTATATTCAACCTATCTTTCTTAATTGGATTATTCATATAATAATATATAATCAACACACACACACATACACATACGTACACACACCTAACAAAAACCTCATTGTAACTGAGGCTAAGGCTACATGGAACATTCCCTCTTAGTTATTTTAAACAAAATGTTTAATTTAGAATAATTTCAGATTTGCTGAAAAGCTGTACAGACAGTGGAAATTTCTCACATACACCCCCTCCCCCAGCTGCCCCTGATGTTAACACTCATGCTATTATTAATAGTTTGGTCATGATGTGATTGTCAAAACCAAGAAATTACCATTGGCGTGTGATATTCCTACTAACCTACAGATTTCAAGCCTGTCTGATGCTTTCTCACTACCAGACTGGGGTTTAGGGTCTGGGAGAAGAGTAACATAGGGTTGAGGCTCTTAATCTCATGCCCTGTGTCAGGGGACCATGCTGGGGATGTGACTGGCCACTCCTGATGTTAACCCTGCTCACGTGGTTAGGGTGTCAACTCTGTCCACTCCAAAGTGATGTTCTTGCCTCCCCACATTCTTCTTTGGAGCTAATCACCTTCATTCATGTTGGAGGAATTAGACTCCACCTCCTAAAAGGGGGTGTCTACCGGTACTATCTGCAATTCTTCTGTTAAAACTGTCCCCTTTCTCACAGTTATTTGTGCTTTCAATCATTTGTTGGTATCAATATGGCACGAGGAAGTAAACTGATGGTCTTATCCAGGTCACATACAAAAAAGTTTTCAGTAACACAACAAGCATTTTGTTGCTTTTCAGGAGCTTGTGATTCCTTTAATAATATTTTAAGATATTTCAACTTTCAGTGGCAATACTAATAGTGACAATAAGGAGGCTCACCTCCCTAATGTCACATTAAAGAGAGGCATTCCCCAGTGGGGAAGAATTAAAGTAGATAAGTCAGGCCTTTCTCTCTGCCCACTTAGCTAATTCACTTCAGATTAAGAAAAAGAGATAATCAGATTTGTGGGAGCATATAATATTCAGAGTATATGGATATTTGATATATCTATAGTCATAATCAAATATCAAATATTCCATATGCTCACAACTATCTAGGGAGCTATTTGCAGATTAAATAAGATGATGTATATAACATTTAAAGTACATAGCACTTTTCAAAAAATATTTAGTGTTTATTTTTAAGAGACAGAGAGACAGAGCATGAGTGGGGGTGGGGGGCAGAGAGAGAGGGAGACACAGAATTTGAAGCAGACTCCAGGCTCTGAGGTGTCAATACAGAGCCTGACACAGGGCTCGAACTCATGAACCATGAGATCAAGACCTGAGCCAAAGTCAGACCCTCAACTGACTGAGCCACCCAGGCACCCCCGTAGCACTTTAAAAAAAAAAATAGGGGTGTCTGGGTGGCTCAATCGGTTGGGTGGCCGACTTCGGCCCAGGTCATGATCTTGCAGTTCATGGGTTTGAGCCCCGCGACGGGCTCTGTGCTGACATCCAGCTCAGAGACTGGAGCCTGTTTCAGATTCTGTGTCTCCCTCTCTCTCTGACCCTCCCCTGCTCTCTCTCTCTCTCTCAAAAATAAGTAAAACATTAAAATAAATAAATAAATAGTAAGACATATGCTTCAGTAAAGGCACTTGCCAAACGTACACAGCTCGCAAATACTGGAGCTGCAATTCAGACCCCACTGACTCCATTATGATATGCTATAACTACTCTCATTTTACATATAAGTGAACCAAAGCTATTAAAGAACATAGTTAGGATTAGAAATCCAAACTGACAGATTCCAGATCTTTCCTTCCTACTAGTGCATATAGCTACACCTGGTCATCAGTGCACCCTCTTCTCTGTCTTCCCTTCTTCCCCATTGCCCTCCTTGGGAACTTTTCAGTATCAGAAAAGCAATGAGCTGTAGATGGAGCGACACCCACTGAGATGTGGGCTCGACCAGGCAGGCCATGGAAACGTCCTCATTTCTGACATGCCTCACTGATCAAGATGTTCTTTGGTCTAGAGAGATGTATAAATGTGGGTGTTTGCTGCCCTTTTATCATGGACACTGTGCTGATGTCTCAAGACCCTGCGAGTCATGAGGATGCTCCTCTTTCTCTTTGCTCTTCTCTGCCTTCTGGCCCCAGGTAAAATGAACATCTTTATAGGGAAGGTTCTAGAGGTGGTGGTCCAGAGAAAGGGTCTGCTTCAGTGAGCACCTGGGTGTGGTCAGCCTGGTGGCCCTGCAGGGGGACATTTACTATGGGAGGTGACCCCCCCAATGCCTCTTCTATAAATCCATTGCATTTTCCCTGATGGTCTAGGATGGGGTATTGCAGGGTTGAAGAAATAAATATACATCAGGAAAGATCCCCTTTGGTCCCCAGCTCCATGCTCATGGACAGAAACAAAAAACTAGGGGAAAAATGTAAAGGCTAGGGTGGGCATCTGTGGATCTTTTAAAAAAATAGTTGTGATAGAGATGAGACAGGTAAGGAAGAGAGCCAGGAAAGGGCCAAAACAGATGAGGAAAGGGACAGAGCTCAGACACCATGTTCATGCCAGCCATGGCACAGGTCAAATGTACATCTGAAATTGCCGCTCCTTTGCCACACACCATGAAGCTGAGCGCTTGTAACAAACACTTCACACCATGAGATGCACGCAGTTCTCCAATGCCAGGGCCTTTAAGGAAACTCTGTCCTACTTCGAATGCAGTGATTTCAGACCAACGCTTCAGGCTTGGAAGGTTTGCTTTACATGTATTTTTCAGATGCAGAAACTGAGCTTCAGCCGGGCTAGGCAGCTTCTCAAAGTCACACAGACAAGCAGGGATGAAGCCAGGACCTGAGAGTTCACAGCAGGACTCTTGCCACACTCTCTGGCTCCTGAAAACCTCCCGTGGCTCCAGTCAGATCCTCCTCAAAATTAAAATCCAAGGCTAGACTCATCCCAGTTTCCAGAAAGGGGAAGAAAGGGCATTTCAGAGCCTGCAATGAGTCGAAATTGGTGCCGGATGCTACAGATGTCTCCTTAGGAGGCTCAGAACTCTCACACCAGCTGTATGTGCCGCTGCTCTGTTTTACAATAAGCCTGTGTGATTAGATTCTGTGTCAAGTGCAAGGGGATCCAGGACCTACGACTAGCTGTTCATTCCACTGGCCTCAATGTACACCATGGAAACAGACCAAGGCCCCCTTTTCAGATCAATCAGACTTAGTATATAATTAGGTAACACAATATAAGATAATGTAATATAAAATTATCTAATATATCTAAGTGGAACTGACCTATTAATGTGCTATTTGCACGCACACGAGCACACACACAGAGTTATATTAACGTCTAGATGGCTGTGTGTGATGACCCATTTGAAGCCCTGAAGACACAGAGGCTCTCTTTCTGGGCCATCACCATCAACTGGATATAATACAAAGACTCTTGTGAAGAGGGAGGTCTAGTACCTCCAGCCTGGGATGACCTTACAATATTAGGAGGGGAGATGGAGTACTGTCCCCTGCTGTTGGGACCGAAGTTCAATGAGCTTTGAAATACTGGAGTATTGATACTTATGAACTTACATGCAGGTGCTAGGAATGATGAGTGCATATGCTGACACCAATCCATCTGGTTTTAGTTTCACGTTTATGTGAATTAGTCACCTTTACATGTTGACATTAATTTCAATTTGTGTACATCTGATGCTGTCCTTAAATATATCAGGATTAGGAAACTCTAAAATGTTGATTCTGGTAAGGTGGCTGTCTGTACTTAACCTGAAGTGGGCTGTTCTTATGACGGCTACTGATCAAGTACAAAGGCCAGAGCCAGTGTTCTGCATGGAACAGACAATACAAGTCCTAGGGAACCACTCCCAACAAAGTGGTCCTTGAACACATTTGATGAAATGTGGAAAAGAAATTTGATGGAGCCTTTCTAAGCAATCTGCTCCCTTTCTCCCATGAGAGTAAACTTTCCCCTTTCTATATATTTATCCCTGCCTATTACCCCAACCTCGGACTATGTCCCCAGCCTCAGACCTGCTCTATTATCACCGCATTGGACTCTGACAGTGAGTTCGGGAGTTACCTGCCCTGGAGGGATTTACAAGAACAAGGTGATCATTACCCCCAACAGATTCTGATAAAAGAACAATAGCCTCTGATTTCCAAAGCCCCCACACAGCCTGACCCCAAATGTGGTAAGACAAATGTATTCTACCTGGTCTTTAATCCCCTAAGATAAAAAGACAGAAAAATCAGAGAGAAAATATCTCCCTACCTTCTCACCTACTGGCAGCTCATAAAGAAACCTTTCCTAAGTAGTTACGTGACTGTACCTGGGAACTGGGCTTGTTTGAGAAGAGAAGTAATCCTGGTGGCTCCTTCCCTTATATAGCCAGGAATGGGTTTTTTGATGAGAAATGCTCCAAACTTAACGGGAGGTGCGTGGATTCTTGTCAGAAAAATGAAGAACTTGTTGCTCTCTGCCAGAAGTCTCTGAAATGCTGCCTGACCCTGCAGCCGTGTTGGACGAATATAAACGATTAACTCTGAAGACCCTGGTGTTCCAGAGCGACATAAATGACCTCGTTTTGTCTCTTTTTACTCTGGCCTCTTCAGAGAGAAGACACCTCAATAAAAATAAATGACTATCTTTTATCAATTTGTCAAGTGCTTCACTTAGAAAGGAAATGTGCGTAGCTAATCTTGAGGGTCCCTGCCTACTGTCTTATTTTTCTGTAATTTTTTTGTAAGGGAATTTCCTCCAAACCATCTGATGTTTTTTTTTAAAAAAAAAAAACTGGTAAAGACTATGAATCAACAAACCTCTCACTTGCCCCCAGGCAGTCAGCCCCAACTACCCATTGAGACAGATGATAGATAGATGATAGATAAATGGATAGGTGAAGAAATGAACGTATATCTATATGGATAGTTATAGTAATGGCAAGTAGATAGATAAATTTACTTATCAAGGATTCTCATGTGTCATACACATGTCTAAGTTAATCATCCTGATTCTGTGGCTTTAATTGGACTTACATACTCCCTATAATTTGTCCCCTATCCATAAATCTGGAATCCAATTTGCTGATGGGCATAAGGGTTGTTAAGTATCTGCAACTGACAGCAGGTCCAGTGACCTTGGATCCTGGTCCCGGATTGACTTTCTACTATATGCCAAATCACTTTCTGACCCAAAGCTTTCATTTTACCCAGTTCAAGTAAGGATTTCTGGTTATGTTCCCTGGCCTAAAATCCAGCCTCAGTTCCCTGTTGGGTCAGAAATCTTGCCTTATTTCCCCCTTGATTCCTCAAGGTCAATGTACTTAACCCTGTTGGATTTTTAATGACATTTTGCTGTTTTGACATAATTACAGAGTCATGCACAGTTGTAACATATAATACAGATACATCTCTACCTTTTAATGCAGTTTTCCCAATAGACAACCAGAGTGCAATACAATAGGAGCACTAGATACTGACAGGGATACAAAACAAGTCTATCACCGAGAGACCCCCCCACCCCCCAGCCATGGCGGCCATGCCACACCTTCTTCCTTCCTACTGCCTCCACTTTAATTCCAGGTACTAATTATCTGCTTTCTACTTATACAACTTGTCTTTCAGGAATGTCATATAAATGGAATCCTACAGGGGTGCCGGGGTGGCTCAGTCTGACTCTTAGTTTCGGCTCAGGTCATGATCTCACAGTTTGTGAGTTTAAGCCCTGCGTTGGGCTCTGCGCTTGCAGTGAAGAGCTTGCTTGGGATTCTCTCCTTCTTTCTCTGTATTCCCCTCCCCTGCTTGCATGCACTTTCTCTGTCTCTCAAGATAAATAAATAAAAACAAATAAATAAATTGAATCCTACAGTAGGTAACTTCTGGGGACTTTTTACTCACTGCAGTGGTCTGGAGACTCTCCACAGTTGTCCTATGTCTAAGTATGTCTTCCTTTTCTGTCCCTGCATCGTAGTCCATGGGACAGATGTACCACGATTCACCAAACCATTCACCCATGGGAGGACAGCTGGGTTCTTTCCGTTCGGTGCTATGACAAGTAAAGCTGTTGTAAACGTTTATGTTTATAGATGTTTGAGCAAACACAACTCATTACTCTGGGCTAAGAGTCCTGACGTGCACTTGGCAAGTCACATGGTTGCAGGTTGAATTTTTATAAGACAATGCCAAACTGTTTCCCAGAGTGGCTGCACCGTTTTTACACTCCCAGCAGGAATGAAAGAGTGACCTGGCTTATCCATACCCTCTCTAACATCTGCTGCAAAAGTTGTCAACGATTTTTTATTTTTGCCATCAATGGCTTAGATGTGATTTTAGTTTGAATTTCTCTAAAATCTCATGATGTTTAACACCTTGTCCTGTGTTGTTGTTGTTTGCCATCTTCATACCTTCAGTGAAATACATGTCTCACACTTATTTTCTAATGGGATTTTTTCTTGTTTTTACTGTTGGTCTTTGAAAGTCCTTGATATATTCTTGATACAGGTCGTGTGTTGGATATGTGATTTCCAAATATTTGCCCCCCAATCTACATTGCATTTTTAACCTTACTTAATAGATCTTTTGCACAGGGAATTTTTTAACTTTGTGAAGTCTAGCTTCTTTCTATGCATCATGGTTTCTTTGGAAGTCAAGTCTGAGGTCTTTTTGTGTAGCCCTAGATGATTTTCTCGTATGTTCTTTTCTAAAAGTTTAGTGGTTTCAGTTATACCTAAATCCATGAGTCATTTTGGGTTATTTTTTCTAAAAGCTGTTAAGAGGGTCAATGTCATTCTCATTTCTGTTTTTGCTGTGGGTGTTCAATTGCTCCAGCACCATTTGTTCAAAAGTCTGTCTTTTTTCCATTGGATTACTGTTACAACCTTGTCCAGCACTGGAAACCTAGGCCCAAAAAACTCCTGCCTGGAATGTTTATTGCACCTTTGTTGATAATCACCCCAACCCGGAAGCAACCAAGATGTCCCTCAGTAGCTGAGTTGATAACAAATTGTGGTTCATCCAAATAATGGAATATTATTCAGGAACAAAAAGAAGTAAGCTATTAAGTCACTAAAGACACAGAGGAACCTTAAATGCATATTTGTGTCTGAAAGAAGCCAGTCTGAAAAGGTTCTATATTGCATAATTCCATTTACATGGCATTTTGCAAAGGGGAAAACTAGAGATTGTGAAAAGAAGTGATCTTTTGCTCTGGTTGCCTGGGGTTGGCCAGGAGTGAAAAACAGGGAATGTGCTAGGGCAGAATATCAAACTATTCTGCATGACGTTATGCCTTTGTTAAACCCCGAGAATGCAGCACAACGGGTGAACTGAGGTTCGCTGTGCAAATTAACAGAGTTAATTGGAAAGTCAGGGCTACCCCAGGATGGAATGCAGAATGTGACAAAACTACCTAATTGTATCATAATTGTATAAAACAACTTCCCTGGAGGCGAGGTCAAAGGGGAGGGCATGCTTGCCTAGGTAACTTCAGCAGTTAGAAAAGAAGTTTGTAATTTAGCACAATGCACAAAAGCATGGCACTCTAGTCGATGATGTATTTGTTAGGTAACACAAGCTTAGCAATTCAGATTTGCTATGAATCTATATCCAGAATTGAACATTTAAGTACACACTTATAGATGTGGGCACCAGGTTTGGAGAGGGAGTTTACTGATAAGCAAGGAAAAGGTAGAATCACCCACATGTGGATGGATGAGAGGCAGAGACCTGGCTTGCATACAGATGGTTACATATACAAATATTTATTGATGGGGGCTTATTAAACAAATATGTGTTTCCTTGCTCTGTCAGCTGAGAGGTCCTGGAAGCAAGGACATTCCGGCAACTATGAGCACACCTGTCCCTCAAATATTGGTTTTTAATTCCATTCACCAATGGGAAGAGCCAGGGATCCTTGGAGAAGTGGCTGATTCTAAGACTGGAGCAGAGAATGCATGAAATAAATCCAGAGCAACTTTGTAGTGCCAGAACATGTGGAAGAACTTCAAATGATGACACGGGTGTGCCAAAAGAACACAAAAATCGAATTAATTTGAGCAAGATGAGAAATTAAGTAGTGTTGGTATAAAATAGATATCCATTAGTATATAATAGATATCCACAATCAGGACTCCACCATACTGACAGAAACGGCAGTCTTTTCCCGGCTGGTGTCCCTGTAATGTGACCTTCACAAAAATGCCAGAGCGTGTCCCATTCAGTGGAGTAGGAAGCTGGATGGGCTGCCCTTCCTCCAGATAAAGCTTTAGTAAAAATTGTTTTCCTGGGACAGTAAGCTCTTGTAGAAAACTCTCTGGACATATTTCACATGATTACTTCCCCATTTCCTTGCCAGGGCCACTGAGGGTTACTTCTTGGCTTTTCAACATGATAATCTCATGGGCTCCCTGGAGTTAAAACCCAGGAAGGAGTGGGGTCCCTTCGCCCATGGCCCTTAGTCCTTTGGTTCAGGCTTGTCCTCACTCAGTCTGGCAATTTGCCAACACAACCACAGTGTTCCTACCAGTTTGAGGCGCCAGAGGCTTCTGCGCCAGGTTAGCACATCTCTCTGCTGTGACTGTCTCCAAATTTGGGAGTGGTGGTTTGCCCTGTGACCTCAGTTCTCTGATGGGTCCCAGAAAAATCACTGATTTTCTGTTTATTCAGTTTTTCTTATTTTAAGGTTGGGAGTGGCGACTTCTGGGTTTTTCACATGTAACAGCTGAAACCAAAGTCCTGGGCTTCTGCCCAATGAGTTCGGATGTATCTCCTCTCCTCTGTTCTGTTCCCCTCTCTCCTGCTCACGTCACTTCTGCTTTATTCTCATCCTCTCTGTCCCACATCTACTCAACAGGTGGTTGGTTATTAAGCACATGTTGGGCACTGGCTTCTTGGCGAGCCCATAACAGTGAAAGGAACATGAACATCAGCTACCACTTGGGGAACTTAGAATTCAATCAGGAAGACCAAGTCACTGAAAACACGTAATTACAACTTGGGAACGATGCTGTGAAGGAATAAAAACTTGTCTAGGGAGGACAACAGCTCTCAGCCAGTTGGGCACGTGGGAAGAACAGAGAGCAATCCCCCAACGCTGTGACACGGAGGTTCTACATGGTCATTAGTGAGAGAAGGGTGGGGGGGGGATATTCCAGGGAGAGGGAACAGGGCGAGTTAAGACTTTGAGAGCCAAGAGCGTTGACACCAGAATGGAGACCAGCCCTGCCTTGAAGCTCCTGATAAGGGGCTTCCTTGGATTCAACCAAAAAGTGATAGCAGAGATTTCATTGTAGGGATTTTGAGAAGAGATGTGACAAGAGCCAATTGATGTTTCAAAAAAATTATGCTGGAAGAGAATCAGGTGGTGGGGTCCATCAGCTAGGAAAGCAGAAAGAGGAGGTAGCTTGGGAAGCCTGTTCCTCCAGGATTCTGGGGTGTTCTCTAAAGTCGGTTCAATCACTATTCCCCCAAAACCACTGCCAAAGTCCTGCCTCCCAGTCCCAGAGCACGATAATCACATAAATCACTGACTTATTCTCTTATTT